TGAGTTGTGTTGCGCTCGTTTTTCTTATGTTTCGACGCCGTTTCTTCAAGCATAAATGATATCATATTGAACAAATGAGCTCCGGTTTCGTTTTTGATTGAAGCATTAGATCTGTATCGTAATTACGGACCCGTAGCAAAAAGAATCGTCGAATTTGGACATCGTATGAGGATTTTATGGTCATTTTACTAAGAATTTAGTTGCCAGATTTTTTAGTTTAATTACGAAATTGCCACTAGCAGCGTATTTAAAAATCTGCACTATTTGCAAATATTAAAACCTACATATCTCCTTCGTTATAAGGTCAAATTGAGTGATTCAAAAGCCTAACTTGACTAAAATTTCACAAGGAATCCATTGGAGGCATAAAATACGAGTTTCGGGATCGTTTGGCACGAGAAACGAGGCAGAATAGCTGGCAGAAAAATATACAAAATAAGGGTTTGTTCGTTCGGTCATATTTTGAGTTGGGGAGCTCGGATTTGGGCGATTTTGGAGGCGATTTTCATCATATGGATTGGGGTAAGTGTTCTCTACTCGGTTTTTGTTATATTTTATGAGTCCATCTTCGTTTTTTGGGATTTGATTGATGATTTCAAAGTGAAATTGAGGGAGTTAGGGTTTGAGTTTTGCAGAGTTTTAAGTGAGGATTTGAGGGACCAAACGGAGTCCGATTTTGACAAATTTTATATGGTTAGACTCGGGAGAGGACGAGGATTATTATTCTGCTATTTTTGACTGATTCCGAGACATGGGCCCGGGGGCCGAGTTTTGGCCGATTTCGGATTTTTGGCATGTTTATGTAGTTTTATTGTGTAATTCGATTCTTTAGACTATGTTGATAGTAGTATTCTGATTATGGTTAGATTCGAAGCTTTTGGAGACCGAGTCGAGGGACGAGGACATCCCGGAGTAGGATTTTACGCTGTTGAGGTAAGTAACAGTTTTAACTCTGGCTTTGAGGGTATAAACCCGGAGAAATTAATATCATGTGATTGTTTGGTGGTGATACCCACGCTAGGTGACGGGCGTGTGGGTGTGCACCGCGAGGTATTGAGACTTGGTCCGTCCCGTGAGGCCAGGCCTAAAAGCTATTATCTGTGGTTATGTGTTTACTTGTTGTTGAACTTGTTTGCCTTCATGTTAAAGATCCTGTTTAGGTTTTATTAATGCTCACATTATTTGTACTCAGTCATAGAAATTATTGTACATGTTTACCTCAGTCTCTATTATTTGCTAATATGCTGTGATACTTGATGTGGGTTGTGTTCCCTTATTTGTTGATGACGGTGAGGCTTGTGAGGTACATGATTGAGTGAGGGCGAGGGCCTGGTTGTGAGGATATTAATACCATAGCGCGTGAGTTGTCCGCGTAGCACGTGAGTTGACCGTGCGGGTCTAGGTATTGATACCATAGCGCGCGAGTTGTCCGCGTAGCACGTGAGTTGACCGTGCAGATCCAGGTATTGATATGGTAGCACGTGAGTTGTCCGTGCTTAGCGCTTGGGCTTTGGGAGCCCCTCCGGAGTCTGTACACACCCCCAGTGAGCGCAGAGTGTTGAGTGTTGAGTGCTGAGTGCGAGTGCTGAGTGATGGAGTGACATTGCTGTGAGGTTGCATTTACTTTTGTTGTTGCTGCATTTATTTGTTAAATTTCTTTGTGGCATTTACTGAGTTATGAAATTTACCTATTTATTCCTGTTATTTTTAAAATTGTGAAAGATAAATAATTGGACTATTTCGCTCAGCTCGTCACTACTGCTCAGTTCCTTAGTTATTTCTGTTACTACTGAGGTGGTTGTACTCATACTACACCCTGCACTTTATGTGCAGATCTAGGTGAGTTAGAGCGCGGCGATCGTTGAGTTCTGGCCGGCTATCTGTGGAGATTGCAAGGTAGCTAGCTGCCAGCATCCGCAGGACCTCGTTACTCTTTTTGTCATTTCTTCTTTTAGACAGTTATATATCTTAGTTCATAGTTTTAGACGCTCATGACTTAGTGACACCCCGATGTTCGGGACTCATTTCTGTATTTTATATTATTTATATTTAGAGTTGGTTTAGTTTATCAGGAATTAAATTATTGGAAATGTTTTATTAAATTCTTATAATCAAATTAGTAGTAATATTTTGGGAATAGGCTTGCCTTGTAACACGATAGGCGCCATCACGACCACGGTTAGATTTTGGGTCGTGACAGAATTGCTACGAAGGAAACATAAAAGCAGCAAGTATAGTTAACTGATAAAAGAAGGGAACCCCTCTTTCCATTGGTATGACGGTCTAAAGTCAAAAATAGAAGCTGATTCCTAATCCAAGGTATGTGGGACATATTGGTTCTTAAGAAGTATCTAAAAGCTAACATCACACTTGGCTCTCAGGATATGCAAGGAAACCTTTGTCAAACAAACATAGGAGCAGAAAGACACAGAGCTTCAGGATGATTCGTAACTAGCCGTGAAGAGCATCTTCAAGCTTTTCAAACTAAATTTTGCCTACCTAGTGACTGCCGATCTCCTTACAAAATTTGAAAATCATGGGTCGCTCATTGGTGGACATGCTTTCTGAGCAAAAGATTTCTTTAACCCAATAGCATTGCCTCCCCCTTCCAGACTCAAGTACTATGTCAATCATGTAACTGAGTACCTGGCATCTTTTTTGTCTACTACTTAGCACCAATTCAACAAATCATTTTCATTAGAAAATAAGTCAATCATGTCCTAACTTATTACTTAAGGTTAAGGGATTCTTCAGATGGTTCAAAAGGGACAATGGGTGTTATTCAGAAAACGCCCCATACATGATCACTCTACCCCGATGCCTGCCTATAATCAATGCCAGTGGTGGTCACCAGCCAAGGCCGTGGGGGTTCTGCACATTGACCCCATCCACACCATGCCACCTATAAAGAAAAGCTCATTCTGCACACATAACTTACACGGTCCTATTCCTTCCATACTTGCTTCTCACCACCACTATCAACTGGCCTAAACACTAGATCACGTACAAAATCATCTAATGCAAAGCTGAAAATCAGAAATCACACAAAGCAGCTCTGGCTTCAATAAATTTGGTTGACAACAACAGCTACTGATTGACAGCACTAGTGAATCAGAGACCATTTTTTTAAACCTCAAGCAGAACATTAATTTAATCTGTCTATTTAATTCAAAAAATTAACACAACTGACTATAACTATAATATAATACAAAAGCATAACAGGAAATCAAAAAATAACAATGTACTATACATTAAAAATCGCAAAGATCATAATTGTAAGAAAATTACCTTCTTGGGTGCGACACCAATTTTTCTCTTCTTTAACTGAGAATCATCGCTACAATCAAGATCTACTGGTTGAGTCTCTGTTTCACGCACGGATTCACGTCGGCTTCCCCCTAACTCAGAATCCTCAACAACTTTACCTTTTCCCTTATCAGTCACAGAAACACCTCCTATGACTGGTTCGGAATTTGTGTCGGGTAATGACAGGTAGGGAGTTTCATCGACTGACGCGGCATTAATATTTTTGCCTTTTCCACCCTCTAATTCTACATTTTCAGTTGTGTTTTCAACATGACTACTGCTAGGGTTACGACTAAGTGGAGACTGAGAATCAGAAAATAAGGAAAAACTAGGCCCAGACATGGCTGAGGCAACGGATTCAGCAGCTACTTGTTTTGAAGAATGATATTGTCCAAAGCGCCACCATCTACGCGCACAATGCTTCCGACCCATAGAGAAAACAATAACCCATAGACATTGATTCACAAAAGTACAAAGGAAAACATAAAAATCCTATGATTTTGAAAACCCACTTTCACTAAAATGTACTTTCAGAAGCAAAAAATTCACCCAAAGCAAAAATGTCACCCAAAATTAGGTACTAGACGAAGAGATTGAACGGAATCGGAAGAAAAAAATTACAACTCGAATGTGTTTCACTTTTGCGTTCTCATCGGTTGGCTATGGAGTTATGGAAAGTGTACTCTGTTAACTGATAGAGAAAGAAGGAAAGCGTGGGAAGAATGGGCTGGATCGAAGATAATAGCGAGATGGGTAGATCGTGGGAAGAATGGGCTGGATCGAAGATAAGGAAGAGATGGGTAGATTGGGCCGCGTGAAATATAGGGGCCGGGTAAATAGATTGGGTTGACTGGGTAGGCAGGGTAAATAGTTTGGGGATGGGTATTAAAAGGTAAATAGTTTGGCCCTAATAGGTATAAAGTGAGATTTTCCTTAATTAAATCCATCAACAATTTTGAACAACACTTAAGACAAACTCTCATATACGTCTAAGGAAATAATCTACTATGCCCACTTACTATTTGGATTTTAAAAATAATCCTACAAATATTTTTGTCTTGTGACTAAAATAACTTTTGTAACGGAGTACAAAATTAATTTACTTCACAAATTGCAATATTTGAATCTTCACTATCGAATATTGTTGCGTATGGTAGTGGTGGACATCAACTAGAATTAAAAAAGAAAGAAAGAAAAGCAAAATCAGAATCGTTTTCCACACAATATATAGCAATGGGTTAATTATTGCGGATTCTTTTCACGATGTTGAAAATAATTATCCAAGTTATTAAATTTTTACTATATATAATTATGTATAGTTCCTTTTTGTGTGTTAGTAATCTCTTTATGCTAGTTCCAAGCTTGAACTACCATTTTGTACAAATAAAAAACCTTTCATAAACATATCTACAAATTAAAATCCTACTAGAAATACTACATTTGCAAATAGATAAAACTATATCAATTGAGTGAATACATAATACGTATCTTGACATATACTTTTGTCGCTATATTATCATCTTATCTTTTATTTAATTACGATAAATAAAAAATGATTTAGTGTAAAAAAAAAAAAAAAAATTACATTAGGGAATTGTGTGTTAACACAAGGTTGAACCAATCATCAGACTGTGAGTGGGACCCGTCCACGTGGGTTCTCTTTCATATCGTGGAATGTTAATCCCATTACATAAACACACAGCTCATTGTACGTCTATGTCTGATTTTAGGAAGAAATTCAATAGACCCCAAAAACCCACGCTGGGGGAAGAAGATGGAGATTTTCCATTGAACAAATTTTATAGCTTTGATTGATGAGTATATGCTGCAGTCAAACGAGGTGAATATTATTCAGAGCTATGAAAGGAGGCGTCTTTTCGGCGCCTGGTGATTACATCTACTTTAAGTCTCAAGTTCCCCTTCATAAGATCCCTGTAAAGTTCTCACTTTTACTTTATGCATCAATTTCTTGGCTTTTTTCTGATTTGGGTTTCTTTAATTCTGTTCCCTGCTAATTCTCTCAAATGGGTCTGCATCTTTTATTCTATTTGATTGCATTTTTATAATTTTCTTGGATTTCAATGAATCTGATCATGTTGTGATTTACCCATATGAATTCAGTTATTTTATTAATTTTTTGTAAATTGGGACCTCTGAGTTTGCTTGTGATCTATTATGACTGTTAGGTGGCCAATGAGTATCATATGTTAATGAGTATGGTATGTAATCTTTGTAGAAATTACCAAGTGTGTTTTTTGTGAGTGATGAAAAAGACTGAGAATTTGCTCCTCAATATAAGTTCAGCAAGCTCCTTTAAGTTGCTTAAAGTTTCTTTGATCGCTTTTTGGTGCACTCATATAGCCCCTACTTGTATAGAAGATTGGGCGTCATTTGTAGAGAATCATGTTCTGATGTAAATTCTCTACTTTTTGGTACACTTCTTGTATACGGGAGTTTTCTCCCTTTTGATTAATACAATTTACCTCGTAAAAAAAAAAAGTTGCTTAAAGTTATCATTTTTAACTCTAAAGCAATTTTGCCCTGAATTAATATTGTGGTGATTGTAGTGCTAACCTTATCAAGTTCCCTTTTCAAATATGTTAAGCGAATCCCATTTAGTTCCTCTCAATAGAATTTGCACTTTTCAACTGCAAATCTCCTCGCCTTGTTGTTGGTATGATTAGTTTGTGTGTGAATATTGTTGGAGAGTGGATCTTTTTCCGTGAGAGCTGAAGAACTTCTCGTACTAATCACAGTGGAATGAGGAAACGGAAATCTATATTTGTATTAAGATCTTTTTTCCTAAATTTTGGGTCTTGAACTGCATTCTACTCATTTTTGCTTACATATAGATAATTTGGTTAATTGGAATGTCTACTTTCTTTTCTTATGAAGAACATGGCTACTTCCTTGAGGTTGTTGTTGCATCTTGACCTTGATTTTGATCTTAAATTCTTCTGGTCCTTGCAATTAATATAAAGCTTGTGTTCAATTCTATGCATTTGACTTTGATTCTTGACTTTAAATATGGTTTTAAATTCTTTCCCGCCCTTGGAATTAATATAAAGCTTGTGTTCAATTCTATGCATTTGACTTTGATTGTTCTTTAATTGAGTGAAGATATGATACTATGTTCCTAAGTGACCAATGACATCTAATTTTGAATGTTAATTTCATTCACAAACAAATACAGCTATTTTGGTATCTGACATTCTCTAGTTAGGCTATTGAGATGCATAAATGGACACTTTGTCTTTTCGTTGAATGTTCGAATATTCTTAACACTCCAATCTGTTGCGCAGATCGGGTCAAAACAGTGGAGATATTATGATTTTGGTCCTAAAGTAGTTCCTCCACTTATTTGCCTCCCTGGCATAGCTGGAACTGCTGATGTATATTACAAACAGATCATGTCATTATCTATGAAGGTAAGGAGGCAAACTCCTGATTCTTCTGCTTGTTTTGTCTAGTTATTGCTAAATGTTTGTATCTGCTTTGAGAGTGATAACGACAGTGAACAATGGTCTCATATTTGTGACTGTGATCACTTCAGCTACTCATAAATATATATATATATATATTTATATATATATTTTTTTTTATTTGCACCGGGTGTCGGAGTCTCTTAGAGCCCCGACTAATCCCGGGGTGCACAGGCCCTCGGCAAGGAGTTTCCCGCAAGTGCACCACGGTTAATTCAGGTTTTACCCAGTCCGATGGCCCTCAGAAATTGTTTGCACCCAGTGGGTTTCGAACTTGAGACCTTGAAAGGGAGCAAACCCCAAGGCTCAAGTCAATTGCCACCAAGCCAACCCCTGAGGGTTACTCATAAATATATATATAAATATAAAGGATCACGTAATTGCTTAAACTTGCATGCCTTACGATTTCTTTGTGCAAGAACTATGGAAACTTCCAGAATTTCTTATAGGTATCAATAAGTTGCCAAACGACTAGAACTGCGTTAGAACAAAACATGCACTTTGGTAGTGCCTAAAATTTATGACAAAAGTGCACCTAAAACTTATTCAAAACTACCACTAAGCAGATGGAAGGAATAGATTATTGATAGCTAGTGATTAGGATTATCACTAGAAGCGTATCACTTGAGCATGAGCCTGTCTCCCCCCCCCCCCCCTCCCCCCCCCCAGAGTAAACATCGATCTCTTTGAGATTACCTTATTGAGTTTCTTAACCATCCATTAGATTATCATATCCGGAGACCAAATTGATCACTTTGAGATTACTTTAGGCAGTTTCTCAACCTGTCATCAGAGATTATCTTATCTAGAAACCAAATTGCAGCTCAAAGTGCCATGGAATTGACCGAATGCAACTGCAAAATAAAATTGAACATGTAAAATATTGGTTAGTTTTGCCGTGGCATTTTTTCCATTTATCTTATAGATATCAGATTTTAGTCGATAGATAAAAGGCAATGTAACAAGCAATTCGGCGATTCCTAAAACCTCTTTCTTCAATATTAAAAGTCTAGCAACATAGTTCTTATTAATAAATTATGGGCTTTATTACTTTTATAGGTAGAAGCAATAATCTAAGGAACTTTGTAGTACCTTCCTAGCATGTTACTTGGAAACTGTCTTTGATACAAATAGGGAAATATGTCCCTATAGTAGTGATAACTACTGGAATTTATGAATTGTACCAGAAGTTGCACTTCCTTTAATGATTTCCTTGTCAAGCTAAGTTTCAAGAAAACACATTCCTGCGCTGAATCTTGGAAAATAGATAATGCTCACGCCATTGGCTTTCCCTCTTTACTACATGGCCTAGTATCATGTCGAGTGATGACTAACAACCTCATAAACCGAAATAAAATTTACCATTTTCCAAGTGATGTCAGAATCTTTTGCAACATATTTTTCAGGATTAAACTAGAGATAATTTGCATATGCAGGGGATAAAAGGTTCTCTTTGCATCTTACAATCTATATGGATATCTCTTTTTCCACGATATATAGATCCCAGCAAGTTTTTCTACAAGACAACTCCCAAATTCAATTGAAGGAAGCTAACATTTTCTGGTTTTTACCTTCTCAGGGCTACCGTGTAATTTCTGTTGATATTCCGCGCGCATGGAACAACCACGAGTGGATTCAAGCATTTGAGAAGTTTCTAGATGCTATTGATGTTCACCACGTATGTTTTCTTTCCATCTCAGTAGCTTAGGTTATGGCTACAGCTTAAGCCTGAACTTGTAATGTGTGTAATCTGACCTGTCTTATTTATCCAGGAGATAAGCAACTTAGAATTAGCAAGATGCAACTTGTTAATTTTCTTTATTTGTGTGTGTATTTAGATAAGAGTATGCAAACAAGTGCATATAAAGATACATCTATAAGTTTTCTTGACCTGTCACTTGTTTGATAGTGGTTTGATTATATTATTAAATCATACATTTTGAATGTTCAGAATAAAAAGAGAGATAAGGTTTTATCATGATAAAGGGAGTAACTGATGTATTAAACTTTTTTCACTACAGATTCATCTCTATGGAACAGCCCTTGGGGGATTCTTAGCACAACTTTTTGCTCAGCATCGTCCCCGGCGTGTTAGGTCCTTGGTACTTTCGAACACATTTGTGGAGACCACTAGTTTCTCAGCTGCAATGCCATGGGCTCCCATGTAAGTTTTCTTTGTATTGTTTTTGCATATCATAAGAGCTGCTAAATTGCTGTTATAGGTTAAATATGACTGATTAGCATTGATACTTTACATCTTCTGCTTATATTTAACTAAGCGATAGGTGATCTAATATCTTTGTGTATATGTACCACATCATTGTGCTTGCATGTCAATGTTTTTATGATTTTAACTACATAGTTCGTCATATTCTAAAAGGTATTTTTCTTCTATTGTTGGTTTCTTATTGCAGTGTTGGTTGGGCTCCTTCTTTTATACTGAAGCGGCATGTGTTATCTGGAATTCGTGATAGTCCCCAGGAACCCTTTATTGCAGACTCTGTAGATTTTGTTGTTTCCCAGGTAATGTTTAAGTTCAGCCTTTTGTTATATTACAGTCATTTTGTGTCACTCTTACCACAAATTCTTTGGAAATTTCCTGTTTTCAGAAAGTAGCCATTAGCAGTCTACTGAACTTGGCTCAGCATATTTCTTTTGCTGCTTCCGAGTTGGCCTTTTTTCCCTAAACAAAGTGTAGTGACTTTTTATGCATGTTCTGTTCATTGCACGTGTATAGTATTCATTTTTGTGCCTTTTTCTCCTCTCTTTTGTCAAACATTATCAGAAGAAGCTCTAGAATCATGTTAAACAATTTTGAGACAGTTCTAACATACTTAACCTTCTCTTTTTCCCAAAACTTTTTCGTCCCTCTTTTTGTAAGTCCAGAATCTCAAGTGGATAAAATTGGATGCAGATTATCTTTTACCTCCTGTCAGATTGGTGTCATTTTCGCTACGTTTTAAGTTAATCTGGTTCATAGCATTCTTGCTTTCGTTGTTTCTCTGGAATCTGGATTTTTAGCTTCAAGCTGCCCAAAATGTAGAACATGAGATGTTTTAATGTGCTACTATTGCACCATGAGACACTTGATGATAATATTTTAAAGTGCTACTCATATATCTTTCGATAAATGTTGACTAATTCGGCTAACATTGAACTTGGTAAAATGAAATGGATGAATAATTGAACAATGAGATTATTCAGGATTACACATTGAATGCTGAGATTACACATTGAATTTCTGGTAGTAGATCCATGATCAAAAAAGTCGTTATGATTGTTCCAAAAGAAATGAAACAAAAGATATGGAAGAGCTAGGACAGTTAATTATGAGTTCTACCCAATACTAGATGCAGATGCGTATAATAAATCGACATGAAGATATTGAGCTGCTCTGTAATAAAACCAGTTGTTGCTGATACCTTCTTCTTGTTGTATGCTTCATTCTGTACACTGTCAAAGTGGTTGGTTTTAGATCTTTTCCTTTTTGATAGTCCTCTAACTTTGTTGAGCCTAATTGTCCATTTTCTTTCAGTTGTCCAAACAATAAATTACCATCACATATTCTCCTTGATTTTTGTTCTTTCTTGACACCACAACTATTTGCTTATAGAAAAAGTTGACTCATTTTTTCCCGTAAACTCATGAAACTTTTGATGCAGGTTGAGACACTCTCAAGAGACGACTTGGCATCGAGATTGACATTGACAGCTGATGCTTCATCAGTTGGACCCCTTCTTCTTCCAGATTCTTCCATCACTATAATGGATGTATGTCTATAATGTGCAAAGCTATATTGTTTGTTGAATTTCTGTATATGCGTGCGTGAGTCAACATGCCCCAACTTTCTCGTTTTTGGTACTATGGGGTGACAGAAAGATAATTTTTAATACATAATGCCGTTGGCACATCAAGTGTTTCTTTACATCTTTTCCTCTCTGCAATTTTAGGACATCAATCTTTCAAGTTAACAGGACACTCCTGCATTCTGTTGCTCTCATGATTCCGCATGAATCTTTTCTTTCTCTGAGATGTGCTTATTCCAGAAGTCATAGTAAGCATGATCATCATCTTTTGCTTGGAAACAGGCTGCATGAATATAAACTTTAACCTGGAGTAGTTATAGTCTGTAGCTCTTGGTGAAGAGATTTTGGTCTTTCACCTTTTTACTAGTCAGTAGTCATCAAAATTAAGAAACCAATTACTTGCTAGACATCAAGGAATTCCCCATACACTATTGCTTTTAATCTTTCCTCACTAGTTGACGTTTCTCTCTGTTGGAAGGAAAGGACCAGTTAATTCTTCCTCACCTAGTGGGATAGGAATATTTGATCCAAGGCCTCACCACATAATTTCAGCATTTACTAATGAGCAGATTACCACTCTTCCGAGTTTTGCACGTAAAAGTTAACTGTGGGGATTATACTAGCTATCGTGTATGGATAAGTGTGAGAGTGAATGGAACTCCTAACCCCAAGGGAAATGGACCTGAATTGAGTGGAATGGATATAGAGAAATCATGCATGAGAGCGCTTGTGAGTTGGAATTTAGCTGTAATTAATTGTTTGATTGATATGTTTCGTCCAAAAAAAAAAAAGATGTCGGCGTACTAATGTAGCTCATGGCCGTCCTAGAAATCGTCTAGCTTGACTTTAAAAAAAAATTATTTAGTATTGGAATGAAATGGGTTCGAATAGAGCAGAATGTAGAGGATTCTTATTAACAACTCCACCTAGTTTGTGATTGAGGCGTAGTTGATTGATTGATATTATTGCCCTTTTGCAATGTTGCTAGTTTCTTTCTTACTAGAGTCAGTATAGTAGAAAGCATCTGATGGATTCCTGTTGCATTGTAATTTCTGCTGTGTGAAGACAAATGACTATTGCGCAACCCCTCAATCACTCAAAGATCAAGTGGTCGAAAGGTACCCTGGCGCGAGACAGGCATACTTGAAGAGTGGTGGTGATTTTCCATTTCTTTCAAGGCCTGATGAAGTGAATCTTCATCTTCAGGTATAAACTACTACTTGCCACTTGTTCATCTGAGCATCATATTTATTTCTTCTTTGTTCTTTTTTCGGTTTAGAATTTAAGTATTTAGGTCTACCAATCTGTGAAGTGTTTATCTTGTAATTTACGAAAAAGAATAATATGTTGCAACTAAGCACTTGGTTGTATTTTCTATTCAACAGCTACACCTGAGACGTGTTGGTGTTGAAGCTCAACCTGATGTGATCCCTAGTGTTCCGAAGGATGGCAGTGGTGGAAGTTCCAATGAGCCAAATAATGGAAGAGAAGATGCTGATGATTCATCAGAAAGTGATAAAAGGGACTCGGAAGCTCCTTCTACCGCAGAAAATGCAGATCCCCCCTTGGCTCCAGAAGCTACCGGTTCTCATGATTTAGGCAACCAACTTCTTAAAATGGCCAAACTCTCCGAAGGCAGTGATAAATCTGCCACACCTCCTTTACCGGATGCATTTTTCCGTGACAAGCAGAAGTTACTTGTCTCAGGAGCTCTTCTGAACGTCGCGTGTGAGTTTTTAATTCTTAATCTGCTGCCCTTTTACTCGGGGTACTGTACATTAACCGGAAATGTAGCTGCAATGTAGACACTTTGTGTGAGATTTTTTTCATTTTTTCATTTTTACTTTGTATATTATGGGTTGGAAATGTGTCGTTGCAAAGAGAGTATGCAAATTGAAGACTCAAGATTGTGCTGGAAAATCTTTCTGAGTGAGATGAATATATGATGTTGCAGTTTCAAATCTTTTGAGCTCCAGAATGTTATATTCTGATTGTTGAAGTTTATATTCATACCCTATACAGCAGTTGCACTACAAGGAAGGTATGATCTATAGATGAAATAGCTAGCACTTCAGTTTCGAAACTCAGTTTTCGCTCCCGCTTGATCATAGATTTTGGCTTATTTTTTCAAAAAACAAATTGAAAACATTGTTTGGTTACGAAATATGATCATGTTTTGGGGGAAAGAAAATCAAAAAATTCCAAGTTCCAAAAATTGATTTAGGACACTGTTTGGGTGAAATTTTTTCTTCTACTCACACAAGTTCAACTTTCAAAAATTATTTTTTAACACAGCTTCAACAATTCTTTTTTCAAGTTTCAATTAAATTTGTGTCCAAACGCTAGCGAATTCATATCTTGCAAAGTTCAAAAACTCTCAGCATAGTCATTACTCATAATGCTACCATCTATGAATAAAAGTCTTTAACTTTGTGGGGACAATATGAGTTGTCCTACTTAATAGGAGAAATTGGCAGAAGAATGAGGGCGAGAACAGTATTTTCGTACTCTTGTGTTCCCCCGTTAAGGAGATCTTACCCAAAATTTTAATCATACGTAAGGGACAAAGAATAAACTTTAAGATCACTATGAAATGAAGTGACTGCTTATTTGCCTTTTAAAAAGTTATGTATAATATGTCAGCCATGTCTTCTTAGTTTTGTGTGAGACGCCTGTAATTTGTTAGTGGAAGGCAAAAGTAGAATCCATATATGGCGTCAAAATAGCACGGGCTAGCCAGTTTTCGGGCTGGTCATTAAAAAATAGCCAGCATTTGCAAAGTCATTGAAAAATAGTCACTATTTTGCTGAAATACGGAAAGTTCCATCATAATATACTGGAGATTGGTGCACCTGTGTATGAACTTCCAACATATTATGCTGGAACTCCAACACGCGGAAAGTTCCAGCATAATATACTGGAGATTGGATCACCTGTGTATGAACTTCCATCATATTATGGTGGACAGATATATTATACTAGAACTCCAGTATATTTTGCTGGAGTATTTTTCGGATTTTGAACAGTGTTTTTGTTCAGATTTATCTTTACATGAAAGTGACTAGATTTCGATTACTTTTGTAACTCTAGCTATTTTTGAATGACCACTTGTAAATCTGGCTATTTTTGAATTTCTCCCATATATGGCAGGAACTCAATCTTTAGATCTACAATCTAAATCTTAAGTTCAAGAGAGATATTCGGCTATACGAACTGAGGTTAGTCGGTACGGTGGGCGAAGTGCAGCATTAACCACTTTTAAGTTCGCAATTTAAAATATATACACAATTTACAATGTATTTAAAGATTAACCAATTCATCTGAACTTCAGGACTAAGTATCTTGAATTTGGAAATTCAGAATTTTGTATCCTGAATTGTTGAGCTGCTAATTTGAAATCCAGGACTAAGTGTCCTGAATTTCTGAACTACTAAATTTAATTTAGGACATAATACTCGAACTTCTAGACATAATTTTCGAAATTTAAGACACAGTGTCCTGAAGTTTGAACTTTGAGATTTAAACTCTAGGACGTCATGTGCTGATGTATGAGCAAAATTGATTAATCTTTTAATACATTATAAACTGTAAATATATTTTGAACATCATACTTAAAAATGGCTAGCTGATGTCATTTCCATGAATTTTATTAGAATCCAGCAAAAAGCATATATAATTTGGTAGTTTAAAGGGATTGACTAACACCACAAATTAACATGAATAGGTTTTGGAATTTTGGTACTGACTCAAGACCAAGTGTCATCGACGATTAATATCTCAAGTCAATAATATTCAGTGGTAGCACTATATTTACCTAATATTGGTGGAATTTGTGTAAAGACTATTCATTTACAACTATGAGGATAGAAGTAGAGATTATACAGACTGTACAACAATACCATCTTATCAGAACTACCTCATTTTAGGTCAATAGAACATCATATTAAATGACAACAAGAGATTTGAAATTTGAGACAAATTGGTTTATGCCAGAAAAAAAAAGAACATTGTTTTTTTCTTTTAAATATGCATAGACTATGATATTCAGACTAGCTTGCGCAACTAAATCAGTTCATTTGGTACATACTATCTCTTCCCAATCTACGTAATGAGCCATTCTGTCCACCAAAACTTAAATATATGAAAAAATATTACCTAGCATTATTTATTTATGTTGAAATTCAAACTTCGGTTTCCTATAATTTTCACCCGCTCTATTGCCCGTTAGGTCATCGAGCTTGATACTTGATTAGTTAAGTTGTAGAACGTTTAAAACATCAAATCAAATCAGAAAAGAATGTAATTACAGGATTAGTCCACGTATATGCTTCTTTTGGTTGCATAATTTATATTCCAGCTAGTATTGAACTTTCAAATTTGTAGTCAATTTTCAAAACCAATTCCATGACCTAATTAACACCCCTACGCTTCTTTTTCTATCTCTTTATATCTCAATCAAGTCGTGAATGGTGGAGGGAAGATTTTAGAAACATTAATAATATTATTAGACATCATCTTTTAATATTCATAATGATTATGACTAAAATCGACTTTTCAATTTTCTCCCCATTAATGTATCATATGGGTCTGTTTTAATTATTTTCAAAACCTTTTAAAATATTAGGAAGATGTAAATGTTATTGCTGGTTAGTGGTTGTAATGTAACCCTTTAATGGACCAAAACCAATTGACAGTGATATTTTTGAAAATTATGTCTCTTCCTAACGAGTGATTTTATTTTGTGTCCCACACAATTTACACTAGTTGTGTGAGGCCTCTTTTTATCTTACATATTTGTGGGCCCATATCTTACACATCTGGGTTCACAAAATTCTGGGACCCACACAGTTGTGAGACAAAAAAGAGGCGTCACACAACTAGTGTTAGTTGTGTGAGGCACAAAATAAAATTTTTCCTTCCTAACCAAGTTGGTAAATCTACTTTCTATCTCTCCATCATTGAGATTTTTTTGTGTTCTATTTAAAGTGAAAAATAAATGGTAAAGGAAAAAAGAAAAAGTGAAACATGATAATTCCTCTGATAAAAAGAAAAAAGAGAGGCTTTTCCCTTTTACCTTTTACCCTTTTTTAAAAAATAATATAAATGAGCCTTTAATCTTGAGATTCTTAGTTTCCACCCTTAGAACTTTTGTAGATCATATTTTATGGTTCTTTCAAATCTTAACATCATAATGATGATTTTTCTCGATTTTTTTTTTCTTAAACTAAGAATTTTTTGACAAATAATTTAAAATTTGCATCTAGTAGTTGCAAGTTAACGAATTAGGTTACTTTTCTGATTGTTTCTTACGCACCAGTTAAACAACTTATATACGTGACAATACGAATTTATAATGTGTATATTTACATGCAAAATATAATATTAAATGAGCTACTAAGTTCATAAGTCAAAGTTATTAAGGACTAATTTCTTGATCTTGACAATGAATCTCGAGTATTACTATCTACATATTATTTCTTGTTTTAATTTTGAGAACTACGATTGAACACTCAAAAGCAATAGCAATTTTATGAATTTGAAAGGTAGCATTTTCAAAATGTCAAAATCAGTGGCTCAATGTGACATTTGTTTATTTATTTAGCCCACCCTTCTTCTTTCTTGTGACTGCCAACTGTTAGCATATTTTTGGCAAAAATACAAAAAGGACAACTAAAGTTTCTAGAATTACTTTTCTCGGTTGGTTAATGTGAGAATATGCATTAATTAATAGTAGAATCATATTTGAAAACACTTATGTTGTATTTATTTGATTCTATATATACACACACGTTAACATCTTGAAACTCATAGTTTTAACTCAAAATTTACAATGTCTAAATTATGAATTTATCATTTCACAGATAGCCATTTTTGGGGATGCTATTTAGGGATTAGCCAGTTCTTATTTTTGTCTTAAAATTTTAAACTAAAAATCTTAACTTCAGGAAAACCCAGGACATTTTTATCCTGAAAATTTGAACTGAAAAACTAAAATCCAGAACTCACTGTCTTATTCTTAAATATATCCCTTTAGAGTGGCTATCTAGTGTCATTTCTATTATAAGAATAGGGTCAGGGGCAGAGCTAGCATGCGGTATACGGGTTCGGAAAGAACCCAATTGCTTTAATCCAAACCTTTTATTTATCTTAAAAAATTTATTAAATATATACGAATTATCAATTTAGAACCCAGTAACTTAAACGGATTACAATCACGAACCCATAAACTTCAAATTCTGGCTCCGCCTCTTAATAGGGTATCCAAAGTGATATGCATATTGAATAAGATATGTCTGGCGAGAATCAATCAACTCTCCCGACAAAAATATTTTATTTTATTTTAAAATAAATGCAAGAAACTACCAAAACATGCTATTTCTTAATTGAATATTTTTAAATATTTGTGTCATCAATCCTTAATTTTAAACTTAAATACTCGTTGAAAGTACTGTCTAGAAGCTAGAGGGGCTCAAGGAGTCAACCCTACTTGTTGACAAAACTGTTTAAAGTCCAAATTAGGTACTATCTAATTTGGACTTCAGCTAAGACTTACATCTCAATTCTCAATGATGAATATGGCCTCAATTTCAGGAATTTTTGATATATATCTTCCCTTTTTTAATTGTATATTTTGTTTTTTTCCTCTCTTCAAAATAACAAATCTATGCATTTTAAATAATGGTGTTTCACTGAATATAAAGTTTAATTTACACATTATTTCACCAACATTTGATATTAGTGACGATGGAGGGAAATATTCAAAAGTTAATTTGATAAAGAAATATTTTAAGAATTAATAGTTGAAAAGTTAATTCGAAAAAAAAAACCGGTCCTTAAAACATTGGATATAGTACTCCCTCAGGTCCACAATGGTCCAAAATAAGTGATTTTTTCACATTTCAAGAATGAATTAATTATTTTTTTCCTACATTGCCATTGGAGTAAATAATGTAAGAGTATGTGTTAGGAGTGTTTATGTGAATAGATAGTAAATGTTAATATGGTCGATTTCATTGCTAATTAATGTTAAAAGGTAAATTTTTTAATATGTGTGAAAAAAATAAAAAAATCACTTATTTTGAACAGGAAAGAGTAGTATATTTTGCTTAGAATTTACTCCATTCAAACATTACCATTTTTAATCATTTAAAATCCACTACCTCTAAAATAGTGCCTCTTTATTTTTGGGAAGATGTGGAGGAGGGTCGAAGCAGAGAATTTTTCAAAATTTGAATCATTGAATGAGATGTACAGGTTCATGAATAAGGAAACATAAATGAGAGAGCTGAGAATGAAAAAGGAGCGTTAGAATTATAGTGGAAAAAGGACCGATATTTCAGCATCAACCCATTAATTTCTCGGCTTTGATTCAAAATTTGGCCCCAAAAATAGCACACTGCATTTACATTTCTCAGTGTCCCCATAACTTGGTTCATTCATATTTTTGGCGACGACTTAGTTACGCACGGTTCAAATAAATGTACATAATACTCCCTCCATTTACTTTTACTTGTTCAATATTCTCAAAATAAATTTTCACTTTTATTTTGTCACTTTAAGCATATCAAGAGAAGACAATTTCTTTTTTTCTGTATATACATAATATTAATTACTCATTTGAAATTATTTTCTCAAATTCATTAAAAATATGCATCAATAAATATTGGTATAATGGTAAATTATACACTTCATTTATTATTTCTTAAGGGGTGTGCAAAGTTCATAGTGAACGGAGGGAGTATCTGTAAAAGCGGTGTTCATCTTTTGTCACAGTTGTGCATAGATTTGAGTCTAAAGTGGTGGATGCAGTGTTTGTGCCGCGGGTTCAACTGAATTCAGTATTTTCGTTACAAATATTTAGATATATAAGTAAAAACCACCAATTTTAGCAAAATATTAAATATGAATCCAAAATTTTAAAAGTAATGAGTTCATATCGTGAAGGTTGAACTCATAAAATTCAAACCTGTTATTCAGGTTCTAAGGCTTCTTTTGCTATTTGAAATTAATGTTTACCTTGCATTATTTTTCAAGTGGTGTCAATCTATTTTGTATATACGTTTAAGAATTACTACATTAAGCCAATAATAGTTAAATTGCTTGTTTAAATCCGCGTTTAGCTAAATCTCAATCTGAGAAATCACATGCATGCTCTTCTATACTTGTATATATGCATTTGTATATTTAAATTCCATTTGGGGTGAGACATTATACGTGTAGACTGATTCTTCTGTAGACTATCTGGCAATAACAGCTATTATCTCCACAGGAAATTAATTAAATACTACTATTACTATATGGTGTAAATATTGCAGAATTGAATACATGTTTTGTACGGCTGGAAGCTGATTACATGTTCACATTATTACAAATTTGAATTGGAAAAAAGGAAACGCGGTCAGAGAGGGAAATTGAAAATAAAAATTTAAAAAAAAAATTGAGGAACCTCAATAATTCAGATTTAACAAATTTTTACATTCTTCGTTCTGAAAATTTGTAAAAATTCTTTTATTTATCTCTTTGTTTTTCAACCAAACATTTATCTAACTTATCAGAATAAATTATACTATAAGGATAATTAGTTGTTAAATAAAATTTAGACACGACAATTTCCTTTTTATCTTATAGTGATATTCAAAGAACTTGGTTCATACCATCGAGGAATATAGTGGCATGGTTAAATGGATAAGTTCACTTGACCCTTAATTAGAGATCTTGGATTTCAGTTCCGGAAATGAAAAGGTTTATGATAGAAGGGAGGATTCGGTGCGTTAGTTACGGGTTTTCGTAAACTCAGTAACTTTTGTCTAGATACTGTATTTGTATTGAAAAATTTATTAAATATAAAAGAATATTTAGCTTGGAACCCAATATTATTGTTTATTAACTTGTGATTTTTGTTTGAACCCATAAACTTAAAATCCTGAATCCGCCTTTGGAACCAGAGGCAGATCTACTCTTAGGATAGAAAGGTCACCGACCCTCAATAACTTCAGAAAATTATGTGTATATCTGTGTATATATCTTAAATATATAATAGGTATATATTTTGATTAGCATCCTAAGACTCAAGTGGTGCCCCGACTACCAGGGGCGAAGCCACACTTTGCTTAGGGTGGTCAATTGACCATCCTTTGTTGGAAATTTATATTGCGTATATAGGTAAAGTATTAAGTTTTAAAGGTACATAATATATATTGAACACATATCCTTGAGAAAATTTCTGGCTTCCCCACCACCGACTACTTTCAAATTTTGGGCCCGCCTATGCAGGAAACAATTCTTAATTCCTGAAATAATCCATATGCGATACAAATTTGAATTAGTCCGACTAATGATTCCCAATTCTAGATAGTTAAACAAAAAAAGGTACACGGTTCATAACAACTTTATGGATTTAAGTTAATACTTAAAGAATTACAAGATGGGTATGTCTAGGAATGTGCATGCATGTGTCAGACACTACGCTCAAAAGTCGTCGTATATCTAACTAACCCTCTTTTTTTCCTTCGACAATTCACACCAATTTACTTCTTCTCTCTCTCTCTCTCTCTCTCTCTCTCTACTGTGAAGCACCAAGCTCAACTCCATTTCAATCCCAATGCAAAAGCTCATTGGTGTTACAACAATAACCTCTTAAAAACCTCAACTTTTCTCTTATTCTGAAAGATCACAAAATTCAGCAAAATGGGTGCTAATTATTTCCTCTTAACTTTCTTTTCTCTATTTCTTGCATTTTCTTGTACTATCAAACCTAGTAACGGAAATGCAGAAGTAAGAGCTTTAATGGAAATAAAGTCTACTTTAGACCCAGAAAACAAGAAACTTTTTTCATGGACAAGTAATGGTGATCCATGTAGTGGTGCTTTTCTTGGTGTGGTTTGTAATGAACATCATAAAGTAGCAAATATTTCATTGCAAAGTAGAGGACTTACTGGTAAATTGTCACCAGCAATGGCGGAATTGAAGTGTTTATCTGGTCTTTACTTGCACTATAATTTGTTGTCTGGGGAAATACCAAAGGAACTTGGGAATTTGACTGAGTTGATTGATCTTTATCTTAATGTCAATAATCTTTCTGGTACTATACCACCTGAACTTGGTAGCATGGAAAGTTTACAAGGTTTGTAGCTATTTTAATTAAATATCCTTCTATTTAAATTGTTGGGAATATTGGGAATTTTTTTTGATGAAAATTGGTTTCATTTTTGGTTGCAAATTTTCTTAGAGATCTATGCAGATATTTTGGTTGTGTTAAATAAGACTTTGTGTGGATTGGTGGCTTTTTAATTTGGTTTTGCGAGAAGAAGGTGTATATAGTTCAAATTTGGTAAAAGTTTAACTTTGTGTGTATATATATTGTTGAATTCTCTTACATAAGGAAAGTTTTAATTTCAACAATAAAGGTGATTTGAAAATTGCTAAATGTTGCAGGTTCAAATTATTCCAAGAATTTCTTCCTCACGCTTTTTGAATCCTTTGTTAGAATTCCTTGTTCCACCACTGTTACATCCCCACCGCTAGTTTTAAGTCTTCACTCTTTCTTGTAAGTTGGCCGAGGGTCTATCGGAAATAGCCTCTCTACTCCTCGGGGTAGGGGTAAGGTTTGTGTACACAGTGGCGGATCTAGAGGGTAGCGTGCGGGTTCCCGGGAACCCAGTAGCTTTTGCACAGTCCTTGTATATATATATTAATAAATTTATTAAATATATATAAATATTTGATTGTGAACCCAATTGATAACTTGAGATCGTTATAGGAACCCATAAACTTTAAAATCTGAATCCGTCTCAGTGTGTACACACTGCATTCCCTAGACCTCGGGATTTCACAGGGTTGTTGTTATTGTTGTTGTTGTTGAGTACTCTTTCTTGTAGGTTATATTTTTGGTCTTGCACAAAATACTGAATTTTTAAGTTTTCCAAAAAAGAGGTGACATCTAAAAATCAAAACTTTGGCAATTCAGAAAAAGAAATTGGAGATTTTTTTATATCTTTTTTCCTACTCTAACAATGATATCTGTTCTGATATGATTTATGCATTTTGTGGTTCCACAGTGCTGGACCTGAGTAGTAACCAGTTGACAGGGAGCATACCAACAGAGATTGGGTTCTTGAAAAAATTAAGTGTTCTTGCATTGGAACATAACACATTAACAGGTGAAATTCCATCAAATTTAGGAATCCAAGGGATGCTGAAAAGGTTATATTTGGGATTCAATCAACTTTCTGGTCCAATTCCATCAAAATTAGCTGCTGCTCCCCAATTAGAAGTTCTAGAAATACAAAACAACACCTTTACTGGAGTTGTTCCTCCAGGTTAGTTCCCTATTTGAGCTTGCCATTTTATAATCTACTTAGTGCAATAAGCTCCCGCTATGCGCGGGGTTCGGGGAAGGGACGGACCATAAGGGTCTATTGTATGCAGCCTTAATCTGCATTTCTGCAAGAGGCTATTTCCACGGCTCAAACCCGTGACCTCCTGGTCACATGGCAGCAACTTTGCCAGTTACGCCAAGACTCCCCTTCCATTTTATAATCTACCATTTCCTTTTTTGGTTTAGTTTTTGAAGTTATAGTCTGTTAAATGTGTTGTATTTTTTCTTATTTTGAAGCTTTGAGGAGATTGAGTGGAAAATTCAATTATGAAAGCAATCCTGGTTTATGTGGTACTGGATTTACTTCATTGAGAGTTTGCACTGCCTGGGATAATGTCAATGTGAATCAAGTTGTTCCCAATGGAGATCCTAATACCAATAATAACGGCGTCCCTAAAGATGTTCCAGAAACGGCTAATGTTAGTCGCTTACATTGTAATAAAACTCATTGTTCAAGATCATCAAAATTTCCTCAAGCAATTATTGTTGCTTCAGTGATTACAGTCACTGTAACTTTGGTAGTTGCTGTAGTTTTCGGTATATTTAGGCGTAGAAGGCTTAAACAAAGAGTTGGAAATACATCTGATGCATCTGATGATAGGCTTAGTACTGATCAGACAAAGGAAATATATAAGAGAAGCCCCTCGCCGTTACTTACTGTTGAGTACTCAAATCATTGGGACCCTATGACTCCAGAAAAGAGTTATGGTAGCATGAGATACGAGTTCTTACATGGATTTAAGTTCAATCTGGAAGAAGTTGAGTCTGCAACTCAGCATTTTAGTGAGGTAAATCTATTGGGAAAGAGCAACTTCTCCGCTGTCTATAAAGGAATTTTAAAAGATGGATCGATAGTAGCTGTGAAAATGATCAGTGTGACGAGTTGTAAGTCGGAGGAGACTGAGTTTATGGAAGGATTGAGCTTATTAACCTCACTGAAACATGAAAACCTAGTCAAATTAAGAGGTTTTTGTTGTTCAAAGGGAAGGGGTGAGTGCTTTTTAATCTATGATTTTGCTTCTAAAGGCAACCTCTCTCAGTATCTTGATGTTGAAGGAAACAGCAGCCATGTTCTTGATTGGTCCACAAGAGTTTCAATCATCAAGGGGATTGCTAAAGGTTGGTTTTCTTTGTTTTTTGTCCATTATTGCATCTTATTCAGTTTCAAAATTTTCTTCAACATTATCTATACATTACAACAACAACAACATACTCAGTATATTCCCACAAGTGGGGTTTGGGGAGGGTTGTATGTACGCAATCCTTACTCCTACCTTATGAAGGTAAAGAGGCTGTTTCGGCTCAATACATTGACAGCGTAAAAGAAACGCTTACACTACAACAAGTAACTGTCTATAATAAGTGGAACTAGTTACTCGAAAAATAAGGCAAGCAACCTTAGATTAGTGATAGTGCTAAATTTTTACGCTATCAGTGTATATAAGTTAAATCCTTTATTTAATTCCTGCATGTACCTTTTGCATTTACCTTTTGGCTGATATTGTTATGCTTCTTTCCATCAGGTCTAGGATATCTGCACAGCTCTGAACCGAACAAACCTTCGATGGTTCATCGCAACATATCAGTGGAGAAAGTCCTCCTTGATCAACAGTTCACTCCACTAATACTGGACTGTGGTCTACTAAAGCTACTTGCTGATGATGTCGTTTATTCAGCGCTTAAGGTCAGTGCTGCGCTTGGATATATGGCTCCTGAATACATTACGACTGGACGCTTTACAGAAAAGAGTGATGTATATGCATTTGGAGTAATTATCCTTCAAGTACTATCTGGTAAAGGACTTCTTGACTGCTCAATGCGACTTGCAGCTGAATCTTACAACTTTGAGAATTTTATTGACCCAAATCTTAAGGGAACATTCTCTGTAAGTGAAGCAACTTTGCTTACTAAACTTGCAATAAGTTGTACTCTTGAGGATCCAGACAGTAGGCCAAGTATGGTTTCAGTGAATGAAGAATTGAACAAGTCCAGTGGTGGCTGAAAAACGAAAAACAAGGTCTTTTTCCACGTTGAAAATTGCTGCTGATTATTAACAATAGGAAGAAGTACCATGGCGATAACGACTGCAGTTTTTGGATGGATTATGTTATGCAACATCACTTGATCTTCTGTAAATAAAGAAGCAGATTGAACAGATTCTTTGGAAGGTTTGAAGGTGAGATTGGGACGTTCGTTTGGCGTCTTTGATTGAAGCTCACAAGAGATAAAGAGGAAGCTAATGAACTTGTACCACTATCTGATCTTTTGACAGTATTTCAATGTATTATTCAGGGTCAATAATCTAATGGATGCATTCTTTTTACTATCTCATATAGTCATACATACAGAGAAGAAAATCATCGCAAAAGCCATTCCATATTAAAATATCCACCTTTCTTGGCAAAGAACTAATACCACAATGTGGAAAAAGAGGTGGAAATACCTCTAGGAATGCTTCAAGTTCAAATCATTAATTATTTTCCAGTTTTTAATTAGAAGTGAAAACATTTCCTGGAAAATAGTTTCCTAATAATATTATGAAAATGGTTTTCTGTGCTCCTCCCCCATTCCCTCCCCCACCCCACACAAATACTATTCTTTTCTTCACTTCCATTTTAACCTGTTGATGTATTACTTATGGCTGCCACAGCACTCTTGTTTACATTAAAAGCATTGGTAAAGACTGGCTCAAGCCAATTTTCTCAGCTATCCATTGATATGAACCTAAAAGGCCACCGAAAACTTAGCAATTCCTAAGTTAATGGACGCTCTCCCAAGAAACAAATGATAATTCCTACATAATCACCTCAATTAAATAGCTTGCAGCTCGTAAAACAGAATTCAAAATAGAACGTGTTATTACCCCTCCAGCACCAATTACATTCGTGCATCGCTGGATAAAGAAGTGCTAAAACGTTTGTTCTACAGTCCCAAACGAAGCAGGCAAAACCAAAAAACATATATCAGAACATCGACAGAACAAAGAATATCATATATTGAACTTTAGAGAGAAAAGGTTGACAGTATCACATAGAAAAATGGAAATTGAGGATAACATACAAGATACCAACAGTGGCAAAACCAGAAATTTACTCAAGGGTGTTCAAAATTGAAAGAAGTGAAAAAAGTTCTCCGATAAATAGTGGGTGGTCAATATATGATATATACCTCTAAAATCTAATATTTTACCTAGTACACTGTAATTTTCCGACGACCCTTCAAAACATATAGCTTCGCCCCTGGATACCAAGGCATCTATCAGATAGTAACAATGTAAAGATATCAAGGAATCTATCAGATAGTAACAATTATTCCTTTTACCAAACACCATTTCAGCAGAAGTAGAAACTGGAAAAGTAAGGACATGAATGGTGAATACCTTTTGTCTGCAATGCCGCTGCCTGCTGGAGATCTGTAGCTGATGGCCGGGGGATAACAAGATTTCACCTTTTTGTCCTCCCCTGGGATCTTTACTTAAGAGCACTTAACATTTCTGAAGATGTATTTGTGCAGTAATATGGAAAATTCAATGCATTGCCCTCTCACTAAATGGATTTTAAGATTCGATTAATATGCATAAACTTTTACTCGCCGTAGGCAACTTTCTTGCCTTGGGAAAAGAATTTTAGATTCAATATTTTTCGTGTGTTTTTCTCAATTTCTATCTGTGAGGCTTTTTCTAAAATTTCCCCATCTTGTAATCTCCTCCCCATTTCCCTTTCCCCTACCCTTTAGGTAATAAAATTTTAGAAAAAGATCAATAAAATGATAACGTTCATCACATTTTCTCTTAGACTTGCTTGATAAATCCATTTTATTATTCAACAATGTCCTCGGCTCTTCCCTGTTAGAGCTTTGGATGAACCTCACCCTGACTTGCAACGTTGCAGAACTGGCTAACTTTTGGAGTTCGTTAGCCAATCGTCAGTATCTAACAATTAGATGGGTGTACGCCTACTGAGTTTAAAGTAAAGTACAATACGGAGCTCGAAATAATAGAAGGTACATAATTTAGATGGGTGTACGCCTACTGAGTTTAAAGTAAAGTACAATACGGAGCTCGAAATAATAGAAGGTACATAATCAATAGGCACAGTAGCTGCTATTGAATCCAGTCCAATTCTCACATAACATGCTAATTTCTACGCATCCATATTGCTGTTCTTCAGCGCATGATCTGAGGATAATAGTACGCTAAACATCCTATAACTCAAAGGGGGGGGAACCGTTAAGGTTAAGAAGCAAACAGTTTTTATTAACAGCAACTGGAATTTCAAACTGTTCACATACATCGTGATCTTAGATCCTAAGATCGACAATGTTTGCTTAAATAGAAGGGGACCAAGACGGGGAACATCCTAGTCAATAAAAGAGATTTATTTGTACAACAAAACAACAATTGCTACTACAGAACTCTGTCGTCTGATGAACTGGTCTTATTCCTTCTGTTCCTCATATTTAGTGTACTGGTAATCTTCAAAAAAGGAACCCTGAAATTTGAAATGGGTTATTTGCCAACCTTGGCAGGATGCAAGCAGTCAGTAAACAGGATATCTAAGCAGCTGCAGTCTGCTCTTGATGATCTAATAACCACTCAGCAGGCCACCACTCTGGTTTAATTGCCTGGACCTTGACATCGTCCAGATCCCGTATTGTTAAAGAGCCTTTAAAGGCTTCATCTAAGCGCAGAAGACCCAAACCACGGCTTCCAAGGGCAGTTGTGACAGTTCCTGCTTTCTTTCCAGACGATGCATCAACTACTTCTGACCTTGGAGCAACTTTTTGTTCCACCTCTGGTTTAGAAGGAGAAGGGAGATTTGTCAAAGATTCTGAAGTATTATGAAGTACTTTGGCAAGTACTAAGAAAGCTACCTTTTCCACTGTCATTCACAAACTTAAGGGGAAGCAAACGTTTTCGAATGACCCCACGGTGATGTGTGCGAGCAATGAGTTCTTGGCCCACATAGCATCCTTTATCAAAGCTTATTCCATTTAAACCAGCTAGATTGTACTCGAGAGGGACAGCTTCTCCTGAAAATGAAGTCGGCGATCAACAAACTTTCCAGACACAAGAGAGCTCTTATCTTACATGAAGTAATAATTTTGTAATAGTGTTACAATTCTAACTTACTATCAATTAAGGTAGATATATTATATGAAGACTAAAGATAGGAATAAATGAAACTCAATTCCATTTTAGGACGCAAAAGTTCTAAAGCTCTCACAGATCCATTTCCCTACATCTGGAGTATTTTAGACTCTTGGACATTCTAGATTCTCTAATTGATATACTCTCATAAAACAATCGCGTGGAAAGAAGCTGAAAAGCAAGCAGAAAGCATACTTCCACAATGACAACCTCCAAGTGTGGAAACAACTTACTTGGAAAAGATGTACGAATATTACCCAAAAAGGCAGGATGAAATTCTTATGTTATTAGTGTATCAATTCTTTATATCTTTGTTTATCATCCTCAATATTGACCTTTGTCAAAGGAGCTAATCTTCCCACAGACCAACTAAGCAAACTAATGCAGCAAGCTGCTACAGCCCACCAACCCGTCAAACCTGCGCAGACTCCCTTACCAAGCAGAAAATACCTTTTACTCTCCCCTGCAAACTTACCTCTAACTCCTACAAACCATCACACCTACCACATAAACCACTGAAGATAGCACAGACTAAGTGGAGAAAGAAATTGCTAGAGGACATTCAGCTGCGGTTTTCACAGGGGGTAGTGAAGCAAGATGCATATTGCTGAAGAGCAATATTGACTTTCGCACTCAAGTTTCAGTTGGTCGATTGCAACGGTAGGACTAACAAGCTTGGACACACAGATACACACACGCACAAAAAAAGGGGGAGTTAAACGTGCTAAACACAAGAACATAAAATGAAAATTCAACGTGCTAAGCATGAGAACATACTATTTGAATTTATAACCACAAGGACGGAGAAAGGTACTCAAGGGGAAACACATAGCTCAGGAAATTCTATACTATAGATCAATCGAGGCGCACCTTTAGGAATCTCAGCTGATCCTTCTGCAACTCCCTTCTCCAACCTCCAGAGAAGATAATTTTCTTCATTTGTCTCTTTGTCTGCCTCAACCAAAGGTGCTGTCGCGAATATCAAAATATATGAGCAGCATATACAAGATCTACGAGTGATATGGCATGTCAAAATTACATATTAAAGATTATGTTTGATCATGTGGAAATAAGTACTTAGATGACATGCCCAAGAGCCTATTATACTAACAATAATCTGATTTGTTCAAAGTCAAATTCTGCGTCTAAGGGGCGTATCAATGAAGGTGCAGAAAACAAGCCAATACAGATCAGCAGGATATGCGGCTGAGACAACTTGTTTGTGGACCAAACGAGAAACGGAAAAAGGTGGAGCACTGGAAAGGTAAGTAACCAAGACTTACGTGTTATATTGGAAGGAAAAATACCCCTGAATCCAAGACAATCTAATCTGGGATCTCTATACCATAGCCACCCACGATTGTTCCCTTGTGCAGATGACTGGCCAGAGCGATCAAACCCACCACCCCATCCAAGGGAGGCAGCCTCTGGCTCTACAGAGGATTTGTGATCTAAATTTTGGCCAAACCTCTGCCAGCAACAGAAGTCATCAGCCACGCTCTCCATATCAACCTTAGACCTCAACCTATACCTGCATAAACAATACACGTATCTTTAACAAGAGTCGAACAAATAAGCAATAAAACAGTAAAAGTAATTGTATCCAATGGATCAATATCTCCAATATCAATTGATCAATCATTTCAGTGTCTCCTCAAAGTAAACCTTTCATGAAAAGAAAACCAAGTTTCGACCACTGTAACGAGCACCAGCAACCAGGAAGCAACTAGCAAGCAACAACAACATCACCCTCGGTCTCAAACAAGCTGGGGTCGGCTATATGAATCCTCGCTTCTCCATTTAAGCTCAACTCAAGTCCTCATCATATCAACTAAAGTATAAGTTCAATATATATAAGTATAATGATAATAACAATATTAGAAGTTCTCTAACAAGACACAAACCTATTCCCAACTAGTAGATATCACCTACCTATTCCCAACTAGTAGACATCACCTATATAGATCTTTTTCTTCTATTGTGCCTATCTTCAGTGATTCAAAAAAAATTGTAGGTTTTTCGAAACAACTTCATTCGATGTGATTTTAAGTGATTTTAGGTCTATCCGCTCCCCTTTTAACACTCACTCACCATAATTTCACACCTACGGAGTGGGTGCATGCCGAGGCGGATCCAGGATTTAAGTTCTATGGGTTCAATCTCTTAAATTTTTAGCATTGAACCCATTATATTTTTAAGTTATGGGTTCATATCTACTCCTTACTACAATTTTAGTGGATTTTATACATAAATTAAAGGTACTGGGTTCAGATGAACCCGGTACTACTTAGCTGCATCCGCCCCTGGGTGCGGTACTACTTAGCTGCATCCGCCCCTGGGTGCATGGGTATGTTGACGCAGGACATGACCAAACCATCTCAAGTTATTCTATCCTTGGTGTTCGTAGTTATCCTTAATGCATGCAATAACAGAGCTGCCTGAATGCAGATGATTCACATAACCAACCTTATCTAGTTTATGATTGAAGCATAGCTAATTGATTGATTCCTGGTATACCTGACAGCTACATTAGCAATTATGGACATTCTAGTGTTCATATCAAAATTAACTGGAACTTGATAAGCAAATGACATAAAGCAACAAACTTGAATCAATTAACATAAATAGGCAATAGCAAAAAAGAGTCTCACTTTTTCAATATCTGCAGAAGCTCATCCAATTCAGAACCATCGACATCTGCAAACAATTCAAGCTCCCCGGGATCAGGGCCCGGCCCAGAACCAGTCCGATCAAGCTTCTCATCGGGCCGAGGCGGCCTGTACAAGAACATATCATACAAAAATCTCCCTTGAGGAGTCAAAAGAGCTGCATACACCGGCGGAACCGAAACGAACGGGACATTCGAAGTGGCCAAGGTAGTCCTATCCTGATCTTGTGGGTCCCCTAACCTCCGTACATCGTTGGTAACGAGACCTTGAAGGAATTTAACGGTGTCGGGTCCGGTAAATCGGATAACGGATCGGGTCTTGAGATGGGTTGCCATGGGGCCCGCATTTTCGAGCTGAGTGGAGAAGCATCTGTAAGCGTTTGGTTTGAAGAAGTGAAGAGATTGTTTGAAACGGTGCATTGTTGAAGCGTGGGTGACGGTTGTGGGAGGTATGAAGATGGCGGGTATATGAAATTGAGTCCGAGACACGTGGGGTTTAGACGGTGCTAGGACAGCCACGTGGTGACTGGAGAAGGTAGTTGTGTGTTAGGTGTTCGATGAAATTTCCCAGAGAAAAATACCCAGGTCCTAAAAGAAAAGGAAAATCGTACCAAGCCTCACTCCTCAAAATTGTGGTTTCTTAACCCCACCTAGCAAAAAGAGAATAAGTTAAGTCGCATATAGTATTATTTTAATTCTAATCAATAAATGGGAATAAAGATGAAGATTGTTGTTCCTCTCTGCACAGCTTGGGATGGGAAGGAAACCCAACTTGTTTTGCGACTTCAATTTTTACTTAGACTTGGAAGACAGACCCGTTTACTGACGAAGTTGTATTTTAGGACAAAGGAGAAATAAACCTTTAGACAAATTGTCATCGCTTTTAAAGATGAAATACTGTAATAAGATATACCGTAGGCATATAAATATTAAATCCATAAATAAATTTGGATTATATTTTAAATTCAAGATATATTGGTCCAATAAATACTACGGGCTAATATAATTATATATGGATTAAATAAATAAGTCTTGATTCATTGGGCTAGCCATTTAATTGGCCTAAAGTGATAAGCCCAATTCATTAGGCCCAAGATGTCATCTTCCTATAGGTCCAATTTGGTGTCACGTGTCAAATGACGTGGCGCGCCAAGTCAAACAAAAAGAGCCAATGGGATCATGCCACGTGTCAAAATGACAAGGCATGCCAAGTCACACTAAAAGACAATGAAATCGTGCCACGTGTGCAAGTGACATGTTCTGGCCAATCAAATGCGGCCATGTCACACTTCAATTTGATTGGTCGGAAAGAGTTTGTTCTTATCACAACTCCTCCGTTCCACAACTATAAATAGGGGTCTTCATAACTCAGAAAGGACACCAGAAGTTATAAAAAGAAGCAAGAGAGAGCTCGTGGATCAAACGCCGCAAATTTCTCTACAAGTTTCAAGCTTCAAGCAATCAAGTTCAAGCTCAAGAACGAAGAACAAATCAAGGTCCAGTTCAAGCAATCAAGCTAAAGCTCAAGAACAAGATCATCGTTCGTGGCGACAATTACATATTCAAGATCAAGCTCAAAGGCCCTTGGATTTATTTACTGTTGAAAAGAAGAATCAGAGGATTCATCGAGATTGTACACTCAAAATATTCGAAAATAAAATGCTACGATTGTTGCAATATTTTCGGTCTTGATTTTATTTTCTCGACGCGATTTTATTGTCTACATATACAATTAAAATTTTATTATTTTAGCTAAAAAATTTATTTAGTTAAAAATGATGGAGCTCTAGTAAAAAAAATTAAAGATTTCTTCAAAAAAAAGAAGAGAAAATAACCAGTTAAAATAAATACTTGTTGCATCTAATTAATAACAACAACAACATACCCATTTTAATTCCACATAATGGGGTCTGGGAAGCGTAGTATGCACGTAGACCATAACCTTACCTTGTGGAGGTAGAGAGATTGTTTCTAGTATACCCTGTTTACTTAAAATTGTTGCATCTAAATAAGAAAAAAAAATTCACAGCTTGAATTCTATTATTTTTGCTTAAACTTTTTACTTGGCGAAAATAATGGAGTTTCAATTAAGTCCTTTTTACATATTTGGCCCGAAAATTGCATAAAAGAAACTAAATTTTTTTAAAAGTTGATGTAAAGATGCATTGGTACATTAAAAAGCAGAAGAAATACTCAATAAAAAATAAATAAATTATTATTTACGACTATACAGTAATTACAGTTAAAAAATAATACCATGAAGATAAATTTTTAATTTTTCACCGCTGAGCGCCTAAAATTTAGGTGTCAGCCTCGGGGGTTAAAGGTTATCAAACTTCCAAGTTGGGAGGGGGAAGGGGGGGGGGGTGTGCAATTAGAACCAAATATAATTCAGATGTGCACCAAATAAAGTGTCAAATTCACGAGATATTCCGAAATATTTTACTTATACTCATACTTGGCTCCTGCTTTGTTATTCTTGTATAGGAGATGATTCTTCAGAAAATATCATTATCACTCCCTCCCTACTTTCTAAAATTGAGGATCCTTAAAATTTACAGCTAGATGACGAATTTCTCATATGAAACTTGAAAGTCCTTAAACTTTAAGAACTCAGTCTCTCTTACTGCTTTACATGTACTTGCTGTGAGCACGTGATTTTTGCCCTATGTGAATTACTCCCATAAATTCAAGAAAATAAATTTTTCCCATTATTTGCAATTTCGTAGATTTTTGTAGCATTTTTCGTTAAATTGCTTGCATTTGTCTGTGCATGTTAATTGTGTTTAATTCATGAAAAATACAAAAAATGTGTTGCATTTGCATTTAGGATTTAATTTTACATTTCTTGGATTAATTAGCAAATTAGTTGTTTTATAAGAAATGAAAAAATCACAAATAACTTAGTTTTGCACCTTTTGATTTTAGTTTTGATTTTTTGGTAGTTTTTCCTTTAATTTGGTTTTAATTAATTATAGTAATTACTAGTTAGAGTTAATTAATTTAATTTGGGAGGGTATTTTGATTTAGGAATTAATTTAGGTGTCATTTTAATTTTTGGAAAAGAAAAAGAATTTTGAAAAAAAAAAAAGAGAAAAGAAAAGAGGGAAAAGAATGAAAAGTCAGATTTGGGCCAAAATTCGAAATTCCCTAGCACAAAACCAATTTTCCCTTTAAAATCCGGTCGACCCAGCCCAGAACCCATTTACTTAACCGGTCCAGTCCCCCAGCAGTCCAAACGACACCAGTTCATCTATTTGATCTGGACCGTTGATCTCAGTTGATCGAACGATCCGGAACTAATCTTCCTCAAGTATTTAAGTGTCGGAAACCTCCCCCCCCCTATCTCACTCATCTCTCTCAACCTTCACCTCTCAGAGACGAACCCTCGAGCGCCGCCCTAAAAAACCTTGCCATCTCCGGCGGCGGCGCCACACCAAACCACCCCAAATCACCCCAAACTAACAACCCAGAACCCCCTCACTCCCCTCTTTCCAAATCCACACTCCGTTCCCCTCGAATATGGCTAGAACTTCTCGAATCTCAAATCTAGGGTTCGAGTCCTAGAAGCCAAAGCCGAATTCATTCATGCAAGGATATTCCTCCAAGTTTTCTTAGTGTTCAGGGTCGTTTTGGTCACAAAATAATGTTGTTCGCTTGTTCTTGGCAAAGAACAAGCGATTGACGTTATTTGGGGACTAAATCAGAATATCAATCGCGAGTTCGAGCCTGGTCGGTGAGTTCTTCCTTCATTCCTTGTTCATGTTTGGTGTTATTTTAGTTTTCGTTCCTCCTCATCTCTCCTTCTTTTTCTCTGGTTGATTCAACTGAAACTCGACTAATTTTCTGGTTGAGAATAAATTATGTTCTTGTGTTCCTCGTTAGTTTTATTTTCAAATCAGTTTTTCTGATTTCTTTTAGTCCGTTAATCTTCTGGTTTGCTTTTCTGTTTAATCACCTAGTTAATATAATTAGGCCTATAACTTAGTTAATTTCCTGCTATGTGTTTAGGTTAATTAGTTCATTCACCCTTTTCTTTGTTCTGATTGTATTTTAAAAGGTTTCCGGGTTTTCTTTTGGGGAATTTTTGATCAGTGCCTAAAGCTATGAATCTCTGACTGATTTGAATTGGGCTCAGAAAAGTCAAGAGCCTAAGAGAGAATTCAACTTGGGTCACAAACCCATACTAATTTGAGTTGGGTTAGCTTGACCCATATTTGGCTGGAGGGGTAATTTTCAGTGGTTTAAGGGGTAATTAGTTCAGGGAATCTGTGTGTAACTGATTGGGGAAGCTTCTAGGAAGCTGGGGTAGGGGACTCATGTGAGAATCTGAATTCTACCTTAAGGGTATGAGAGCAAAAACAAAAATATGAAAAGGGTAGAAGTGCAAAACATAGTTAATTTCTGCAGCCCTAATGCCTTGCCTATAAAGGCACATTTGCTTGACATTCAAGTGAGATGGGAAGACATAAAATTCTGAGAAAACAAAAACGGCTGAAAATTCTGAAGCTGCACTGATTTCCAGCATTTTCTTTGATAAAAACTGATCAAAATTCTGTTTTAGCTGGGAGTTTCTGATCTTCTTCATTAGTTAAAATCTCTGAAAGTTTCACACCTTGCACCTGAGTTGGGAGATGGTTTGATTTTGGATTTTAAAGTCTGGGTTTCAAGCTGCTGTGAGGTCACTGTTGCATTGATACTGCTGTGCTCTTGTTCTGCTGCTGTCTACTGTTTCTTCATCTCTTTTTCCCTTTCAATTTTCAGGTACTCTCTTCACACTATGAATGGAAATGAAATTTTTGGTTGAGCTGTTATGTGAAGCCATGTAATTCAAGTTGAAGAAATGATCATTGTTAATTCTCTGTTGCTTCACCATTTTTTTCTAGTTTCTTGTATTCTGTTCTGTGTTTCTTTTAGCCTAGCCTTCTTATGAGTCATTCATGTCATCAGGGCTACATGTTTTGTCTTAAGGGTTAGATATGAGATTCTGCTTGAATGTAGTTGATTCGTGAATGTCTTTTAGATTTAGTATAATATGTATGAATTGAAAGCTGCAACCCTTTAGTTTGATTGTGAAGTTGGTTGGTTCTGAATGTGTTTTATAGCTATAGGTTACATGCTGATTATTTCAAACCATTCCTGCCTTAGTCTAGTAAATTTGAGTTGAGTTTGCTTCCCATTAATCATATATTTAGACTTGCTTATATGCAGCCTGAAGCATAGTCTACCAATTTCAGAAGTTTGTACTTTAGTTCCGCCCCTGTTCGTGTATAAGCACTGTGAATTTCAAAAGGACTTTCAAATGGAATTTGAGTTTGATTTCAGATCTGGAAATTTTCAGATTTAGCTTGACTCTTTATATTTTGTTCATTCTGGAAAAGTTCGAGTCAAAGGTGTTGGTTTGAATCAGGGCATGCATGAGTTGTAACCAATGAATTTGCAATGTTAAAATGGTGAAATAACTTGTGCAAGAGTTGCTATCATATTAGGAATTGAATCTTCATTTTAGAATATATGTTGGCATTGAATGCGTCTTTGTATCTGTTTCAATTCAAGGTTTTCATAGAAAGAATGTTTCCACACCAAGTGTCAGTGCAGAATCGGATCTGGGCTGCCAAGTGTTGGCCTAGTTATGCTCATCAGCATTTAGCTTTTCTCGACCTGGGCTTCACGTTAAGCCCAGTTGTGTTGCTGTGCTCGCTACGGAGTCCTCGATTAGCAATTGGGTCCATTGTTGGCCCAAGCCCTAAAAGTCGAATGTTTTTTTGTTAGTTTAATGCATGCCTTTAATCGAGGCCAATCTCGAACATTAGCTAAATAATTAGAATCT